CTTTATCCACATAAAACTAAAAGAAAGAAGGAAGTAATAAAAAAAAATCAAAACCATTTTGTAGGCCAGAATTTTGGCAAGAAAGAATTTTTCAGCATAAAATACAAGAACTGTAAGTTTACCCTCTCCTAATCTACTCTCTGCTGCAGTCACACACTATTATTATTATATACAGATATTGCCCCAAGTATTCTCCCCCCCTATATACACTATATTGCCCCAAGTATTGTCCCCGCCCCCCCCTATATACACTATATTGACCCAAGTATTGTCCCCCCCCCCATATACACTATATTGCCCCAAGTATTGGCCCCCCCTATATACACTATATTGCCCCAAGTATTGTCCCCCCTCTTATATACACAATATTGACCCAAGTATTGTCCCCCCCCATATACACTATATTAACCCAAGTATTGCCCCCCCAAATACACTATATTGACCCAAGTATTCCCCCCCCCCATATACACTATATTGACCCAAGTATTGTTGCCCCCCCCCCCTATATACACTATATTGACCCAAGTATCCCCCCCCATATACACTATATTGACCAAAGTATTGTTGCCCCCCCCCCCCCCCATATACACTATATTGACCCAAGTATTGTCCCCGCCCACCCCCCCATATACACTATATTGACCCAAGTATTGGGCCGCCAGTCTTTCCACGCACATGACCTTTAATGGCCCCCCAGTCTTAGTCCGTAGGTTTCTATATTGAGTTGGCCCCGCCCTTTCCACACACATGACCTTTAACGGCCCCCAGTCTTAGTCCATAGGGTTCAATATTGAGTTGGCCCCGCCCTTCCCACACACATGACCTTTCATGGCCCCCCAGTCTTAGCCCGTAGGGTTCAATATTTGGGCCGCGGCCTTTCCACACACATGACCTTTAATGACCCCCCAGTCTTAGTCCGTAGGGTTCAAGATTGAGTTGGCCCCGCCCTTTCCACACACATGACCTTTAATGGCCCCCCAGTCTTAGTCCATAGGGTTCAAGATTGAGTTGGCCCCGCCCTTTCCACACACATGACCTTTAATGGCCCCCCAGTCTTAGTCCGTAGGGTTCAATATTGAGTTGGCCCCGCCCTTTCCACACACATGACCTTTAATGACCCCCCAGTCTTAGTCCGTAGGGTTCAATATTGAGTTGGCCCCGCCCTTTCCACACACATGACCTTTAATGGCCCCCCAGCCTTAGTCCGTAGGGGTCAATATTGAGTTGGCCCCGCCCTTTGCAGCTATAACAGCTTCAACTCTTCTGGGAAGGCCGTCCACAAGGTTTAGGAGGGTGTCTATGGGAAGGTTGGACCATTCTTCCAGAAGCACATTTGTCAGGTCAGGCACTGATGTCGGGGGAGGAGGCCTGGCTCGCAGTCTCCGCTCTAATTCATCCCAAAGGTGTTCTATGGGGTTGAGGTCAGGACTCTGTGCAGGACAGTCAAGTTCCTCCACCCCAAACTGGCTCCTCCATGTCTTTATGGACCTTGCTTTGTGCACTGGTGCGCAGTCATGTTGGAACAGGAAGGGGCCATCCCCAAACTCCTCCCACAAAGTTGGGAGCATGAAATTGTCCAAAATGTCACCTTAAGAGTTCCCTTCACTGGAATTAGGGGGCCAAGCCCAACCCCTGAAAAACAACCCCGGTTTCCTCCCACACTCCAAAGACATGCTGAGAGGTTAATTGGCTCCTGTCTAGATTGGACCCTTGTATGTATGAATGTGAGTTAGGGGCCTTAGATTGTGCGCCCTTTGAGGGTTAGGGATGTAGCATATTGTGTGTAAAATATATACATACATACATACATACATACATACAGGGGCGGACTGACAACTCATGGGGCCCCCGGGCAATAGGGGATCATGGAGCCCCTGTGTCCTTGCCCAAACTCAATAAAGCCTATAAAAAAGTTACCAGGGGCATCTCACGGGGCCCCCTACTGACCCTAGGCCCGAATTTCCAAATGGTCGGTCTGCCCCTGCACACAATATACTACAAGGGACTGATGTGAATGTACAATATATATGTAAAGCGCTGCGTAAATTTATGGCTCTATATAAGTACCTGAAATAAATAAATCTTTGCACCCAAGGAGCTTGCACTCTATCTGCTCCCCCGCACAGTCACACACAGTAGGGCCAGTTTCAGTGGCAGTCGGGTATGTTTTTTGATTTATGGAATGAAAGTTGATGCAGATAAAATCCTGGAGGGAATTGGATCGTGCACCTAAGAGCGACAGTGCAAGCCATGATGTCATCCTCCTACCATTTGTGTATGAATGACGTCATCGTGCCAGTAAAGAGTGCGGCTTTACCTAACGGCACAGATTGGAGCCGGTTGGGGTCTTGCTGGGAGTATTTCTATCCATTAAGTCACTCTCGAGTATTTCTGTCTCTGTCCTCCTTTTTTTTTTTTTTTTGTCGCTGGCCCTGTGCCCCCGTAATTAATTTCGCGGCCCCTCGTTGCAGCGGATCACGGGTGCGTTCTTCATCAATTA